AAAACCGTTACATGGGGCAGTGACACACAGCAGATGTTTCGTACTGCAGTGGAACAAATTCTAGGTCCTGGAAACACATTCTTTGGCAAGTATGACCTGCTGTGGTCTTTCGCTTCGCCTTGCCCTTTTCCCCAACTCGCGAATTTTACACTAACAGAGGATAGACGTTGGAGGGAGAAATCGTCTGATGCGCATCTTGTCGAAGATGGGATGTGGATTTCTCACAGCACGCGCAGACGTCTAGGGAGAGAAGAGAGAAGGGAGGGCGGAGGGGTTCATTTAGGCAACGCTATGCGGAACTAGCAATAGGTGTGTATCGGTTTGACGGCTATGCGCGGAGAGAGAAAGAGGATGTCCAGTTTGCAATGGGAGGAAAAGAGTCAACGGACACAGCGCGAGTAGAGGCACCCAGATTGAAATATTTCAAGTCAATTTCTCCAGATAACCAGTCTGTGAAGGACCCGAAACTCGCGAAACTCGCAGAACTCCCATGCAGAATTTCTTATCCCCTCTTCATCTCTTGCTGCTGTTGTATCCTAGAAGCAGAACGGAAAGCGGGACCTTTCGGTTGAGTCGGATGTGCCTTTGATAACGTTCTTGCTGTCGTACCTTTCATTTCTGTAGGCGTCCAAACCCTTGGGCTTATGCTCCAGAAAGACTCCGAACGCGGGCCCGGGGATGGTGCCTCCGAAAGGCTGACATTTGCAAAATCGGGGACGCCAGAAGCCTATCACAGGCGCGTCCTTGGGTGGGTGGTGCTCTGCATGGAGTGTAGTCCTGCCGAAAGCCCGAACAACTAGTCCCAACGCTACCCTAATCTTTGTGAAGACAGGGCCATCAAAGACAAAGTCTGGGTGGACTCTTGACCAGAGAGGGTTATCCTTGTCGTTGTAGAATTCTTCCTGGCCGCAGCCATCGAACAAGAAGACCGCATAGTATTCTGCCCACCACGGATAGTACCCAGCCATCTCCCAATCGACAATGGCTTGGATCTTGTCATCCTGGACGATAATGTTGGTCATGTTGAGATCGGTATGGCTCAGAACATACGGTCCTCCTCTTGGAAAGTTATCTTTGATTTCTTGGAGCTTCTCTTCGATGACCGTCGGGTCCGTGGTATCGTGGACGATACTGAGGCCAAGGCGGAGATCGGGCGTCATATTCTCGAGCCATTCGTCTTCGGTGAACCCCATTTTAATACAGGTCGGTGAATGGCGCCTCTGGCAGATAGCCACAAGGTTGTCCTCGAGTTCATCCCCATTGATCCTTTGTGGGCGCGGTGCTGTGAACTGTCGTAGTTGTTTGAGGAAGTCAACCATTTGGTCTCTATAGCCCTGCTTTTGTTCAGGAGTCAATGTGTGCCAGATTGCCGAGAGATGCACGCCCGGCGCTCTCGATATGAGTGTAAACTGGATAGGATCCTCCGGATCACTCAGGAGTTGCATCTGCTTGGGCAGGGGGATAGTAAGGCCAGGTTGTTCGTGGAGAAATTTCCACGTCATATACTCAGCCCCCGTTGATCTATCGTTTGGCTGATCGCGTATGAGCCACTTGGATCCAATTGACCACAAGCCCATGTTGAACCGGGCATGCATGATTCTGATGCGTGACAGGTAGCTGGAAGTAGTTTGATCGTACGCGGTCCAGCCACATGAAGAGCATAACTCTTGCTTGCTCTCATCCGAGTACCCCCGTACGAACCGTTGATAGATACCATCGATCTTCCCGGGATAGTAACCACTGTTGTAACAATTTCTGTGATTCTTGAGAGGTTTGAATGGCAAAAGACCTTTGTGGTGGCGCTCCGGATGGGTATAGTCGTATTCGACCACAGGATTTCCATTGTCCCAATCAAGCATCGTTATGTGTCACACTCTCGCGGTGCAGTTGTTGAGTGACTAGGCTGGTGTCGTGTCAGACGGAAAGTTCAGGAGTTTGCGAGGCGAAGGAAGGAAAGAAAGATTGCATTGCACCGAGACTTTGCGCCTTTTTATGGGACCCAAAAGACTCCCCCTTTGAGAGAAATGGTACTCGGCAAGACTCTGCCCAGATTGCGCAAGCCGCGACAGTCCAGCATTCCAACCATGTTTACCATCGTAGTCACCAAGAGGCGATTTGCTCTTTTGGAGAATGCCGACCTCTTGCTCCGCAACCAGTGACTCAGGCCGTATGGAGAGCAGAAGTATGCAAGGGACTAGAGCCTAGACTTCAGGCGCGTCACCTACGGCACCTTACATGACCAGTCGCTGGTCGTCTCTGTCATGCTGCAAGGGGGTTGAATAATATCCCCAAAGAACAACAGCGGGATCCGACGACGGCTGGATACTTTGTACACAGCAACAGAATTCCACATCTCTACATTCCTACAACGATTTAGTCTTGCAAAGAAAGAGTCGAGGACTTGGCAATACTATTTGTGTCAGATCGTGGGTTTGCCCCCCTTCATTTCGAGCTGATGATGCTGTGAGGGGGAGAGCGCGAGACCGACATCATTCGACGAACGCGTTTGATGTCGACGACATGGCACGGAGCACTGACGCAGATAATCTTTCCCAGGTATCTAGATGCTCCTACTCTTCTTTCCCTGACTCCGCAGATCAAATACTCATCGTTGCCGTATTAGCAAGTTATGCAGGAAGCCAAATTCCCCGACAGAGTCAAAGAGGGATCACTAGGACAGACTCGGTTAGACACTACGTGGGAGCCTGAAAAAGGAATGTCTTCCGAGAGCCTCGCGATGGCAACTAGCTTGTCGTGGGCTCACCAACGTGAGCTACTAGTTTTAGTTAGACTGATTCTAGCTAAATACAACTACACTAAGTACTCGGCACATACTCTGCATTTAGCTAGTTTCTCCCACAACCAATAACTCGCATACATGTACTTTTTGGACTTGTACCATCGTCACATATGCAGCCGTTGTCCCGCACTCCACCCTCACCACGACCAACTGCGTATCGAGGAGCCGTACCCATTGGGTACTTGTCGTTTAAAGAATACAAATCCCACATAGGAGGATGTCCGGCATGCATCTGGGTTAACAAGCCCAAGCACGGCCCGAGCACGGAGAAAACGGGCCCGGTTCAATACGCGGTGTTGGAAGGTGTCGGTACATATTGTCAACCTCTGGGCATATTAGCAAGCACAATGGGGCCAGAAATCTTGCTTACAATATAGCAAAGCGGAAATTGGACCGCCTAAGTTATCGTTCGGCAGGCAGCTCTGACTTCGACTCTGATTATTGTGGATTTTCACTTCTTCTCTACGAAGCCCTGGAGTCCATAAAGTTGCAAGCACCCCAGCCCGTTCTCTTCTGACTCGCTCTTGCCTAGAGTCGAGGTGAGTGTAGCACCTTGACGTCGTCTCTCCCTCGCGAACTCTTTCCCTTTACCATTGGAGAGCTCTCCACGACAACTCCCGCAAACCCTGCTCGAGGCCCCCACCCCCCCCCCCCCCCCGGGTCTATCATGGATCAACTTCCCCAACTTGGAAGATCAATCTGGGAAGTCATTCCGAAGACTTCGGAAATATACGCGTCTCTTTTGAACAGAAGCTCCAAAGATGCGATTCTGGGTAGCAGCCTCGAAGTTGCAAGCTACGGCCCGGACCCTCGTCAAAAGTTGGACGTGTATGGCGCCGAATCGAGCACGGCGCCGATCCTAGTCTTCCTATACGGTGGAGCTTGGGTCGAAGGTGACAGGGTCATTGGCAGCATACCCGGTGGGCTCGTGTACCGAAATCTCGGCTACTATTTCGCGAAGAAGCAAGGGTTTGAGACGATAATCCCCGACTATCGCCTGGTGCGGCATGGTGCGAGATACCCCGCGGGATCGGAAGACCTTGCCCTGGTCTTGAGATACGTCAGGGAGAGATATGGTACGGATCGACCGTTGTTTGTCCTGGGGAACTCTGCAGGAGGCGTCAACACCATGTCGTGGCTGCTGGACGATGCTTTCCACCAAAGCCGCGAGACGAGCAAGGTGACGGGACTCATCAGCTTAGGGGCTCTGATGGACTTTGACCACCTCCCGCCGCCATTTCCAGATCTCCTCCTACAGTATTTCGAGGAGGGCTACACCGCGAGGTCTCCGATCGCACAACTGCGGTCGGCGGCGTTGAACGGCCAGCTGAAAAAGGGGTGGCCGGCACTGCTGATTCTCTGGAGTGAACTCGATCCCGACGTCATAGTAGAGACAAACAATGACTTTGTCGCCGAGTTGAGAAAGCATGGCGTTACAACAGATGCCGAAGTGATAATGGGCCACAATCACATCAGCCCACCCATGTCTCTGGGAACAGGGCTGAAGTCCGAGGAGGAATGGGGTGCGTCAGTCGCCGCTTGGGTCAGGCAGCATGTAAACAGGACTTGATCGCGCTCGCCTTTTGCAAGTGCTAGGTAGACCCTTTGATTCGAATACAGGGATCGTACAGTAGGTAGGGAGAGCAACCAAGTCGATGTTTCTCAAAACGACGACGAAGTCTGTGACCCTTTGTGAAACCGTGATTGCGACCATCGTAGCTTCGGCGTCGCGCATACACACGAAAGTTCTTACTGACTTGGCCATGTCGATGGACACATTGAGGGTATAACCCTAGGCCAAGGTCTCACGACTTTTTCACAACATCATCGCCTAGCGAAGCATTAGCGCGTCGCAGGAGGAGGTACGACTAAAGGGGTGATTGTGCGATTCTGGTCTATTTAGTTGTGCAAGTCACACACAGGTAATAGAGACCAGGAGAGTGTACATTCAGACGGGTACAGGTTTGGGGTCCTCTAAATCTAGGGAGAGGAAGCGAAGACGGGATATTGCAAAAAGGGAGCATATTGACGCACACACGTACACATATACACACACATCCATACACACACTCACTCTCTTTCCATCTCTCTCTCTCCATCTCTCTCTCTCCATCACCTCGTTACAGAAGAAAATCCGTATTTCGAACTAATGCCTCACCAGAGGTTGAAAAGTTCGTATATCCGTTTCTGCAAAACTCTTTCACGCATCGTACACTCTCAGCGGAGTCCCCATCAAGTGTGCTTTGATCTGCAAGGCAATGAATCGACCATAGTACCTTGCAATGCCGATGTCGCCCCCAGTGAACCACAGTCCCGGATCTAGAAAGGGAGAAAGCAACGTCAGTTCCCATTGTTTACCTCTGCCTTTTGTTGTCTCTGGCAGATAGATGATGGAGGAGGGACTTACGCCCAGCGTATTTGAATGCTCCTCTCAGCTCTCCTTCGGCGTCCACCCTCCAGAAATCGTCGAGCTGATCCGCAATCTCGGGTCCGACTATCTGTCCGGCGATCTGGCGCAGGTTGCCCACAAAGCCCGTGGTGAAGACAATAACGTCGGCTTCGAGCTCCGTGCCGTCGTCGAATGCGAGCCCCGTGGCCGTGTAGTGGGTGGGAGAACTTCCGGACTTGACCTTGATCTGAGACGTCGTCCTCAGTAAGCATGTGGACAGGTTCAGTTGGGACTCCTACTCATGACCTACCGATCCGTCGCTGATCTTCGCCGAGGCCCCCACGTCCATGTAGTGGCCGCCGAGACGTTCGAACAGGATGTGCATCAGGTCTCCGTATCTTTCGACGTCGAAGCCTGCCTTTTGGAGGGCATCGAATCGCTCGCTATCATCCCGGGCCATTGCGTGCAGGAGGTTCAGGATGATTTGGCGGCGGATGGAAGCAGGGAAGGAAAAGCTCTCCCCGTCAGCTTTCTCGGTTGGAATGTCGAGGTTGTAGAATGCTATATTTGACCCCTCAGTGCTTTTTTTTCATCAGACGATATCGCTTCTTTGGGGATCCAATACCTTTGGTCACTGCCATGTAGTGTTCAGCCGGGAGTACATCTAAGAAAATGTCAGTCTTTGAGACAGAACGCAAAGGGAAGAGGGTATCATGTACATGTCCGACCCCTCTGAACCATCGTCACTGATGCAACGCCCGCATTCAACATGTCCTCAGCGACATCATGTCCTGAGGGGATCGCGTTAGAGAGACAATTGGGCAACATGTCCATAGATGACAAGTCGACTCACCGGTATTTGCCGAGCCCACAACGACTCCGTGGAGGCCGCGCCAGTCATTCGAATTTTGATAGTCGGATGAATGCAGGACGATGCCTTTGAACTGTTCCTATGAGGTGACTATCAGCCATGTTCACCGCTTAAAAAGGCCAGGCAAAGACAGCCGCCGGTGGTCAGTGTTTACCCTGTTCGGCAACGAGGGCATCATGGGCCACCGTCCGCCTGAACCGCCGGCAAAGACGAGATGGAACGCCGTCACGGTAACTTCTTCACCGCCTCGAATCAACCTGCAAGTCCAGATCTTCTGTTGAGTTGACCACGAGCTGGAGATGAGTTCGGTCGACTGCCAGATATTCTGCGGCGTCACAATCAGCCGCGGAGGTCAGACGAACGTGATGATATTTGAGCACGTACGATTCCGAATCTCTTGACATAGTCTTTGTGGCCTTTTGCAATATCCGCCTTTGTCAGAAACTCGGGATATGAGTCGTCGTAGGTGCGGTAGAAGGGCAAGTGTCCTGCAAGTCTGAAGTTAATCATGGAGAGCGACGACGTCGAAGTACCAAATACTTGCCATATTCTCGAGACGTGTGGACTAATATCATGGTCAGCTCTGGATACATGGCGGCGAGTTGATGGTACAAATTCCCGGAAGGAGGGATTGGACTCACGCTTGGTGGAATCGTATCTTATGTTCCAACTGTCTCCCACGGAGTCGAACTTGTCGACCACGAGGTAAGAGACGTTCAAAGCTTGCAGGCGTCCACCGATGCCCAGTCCTGCTTGACCCCCGCCGATTACCAGAGCGTCAAAGTGTTGAGAAAGTCCGTTGTCCCTCTCTTTGATGTGAGGCACGACTGGGTCCAGGACATCGACGTTGCCATAATCTGCCACCTCGTCCAGGATCGTGCGAATCATCCAGATCTTCCATCCTTTGTTGTCGGTCGGCACCAGAGAGATGAACCCGGAGCAGCGCAGTTGAAGACCACCCGGCGAGGCGTGGAAGGTGAATTGTGCATCGATCCAGGACGAGGCGTCGAGCACGCTGAAGACCTTTGCAGTGCCCGGCGTCAGCTGCAAGTCGTCGACCTGGCCGTGGCGACCAAACGTGTTTGTCCACGCCTCCGTCACGCTCGGTGCGCTGTAGAAGGTCCGGAACGTGCCCGTCAATGCCAGTAAATCTCTCCAGATCACAGAATCTGTGACATGGTCCACTGACAGCGATAGGAGTCGTGGTAGATGGGCGCGAGCGACTGCTTCACAGTCCGTGTCTGCCGGGATCTGGGACTTTGGCAAAGAGCCTGGAAGTTCGCCGATGGCCACGGCTGGAGTCCGCTTCGAGACTCGATTCGAGGATACTCTGTCGTTACTCATTGTCGTTTGTTTTGTGCTGTGACTCGGGCCTCTTGATCCTCCAAATATTTCGAGATAGATTTTTACCCGGCTGTGCGTCTCATGTTTCTGCTCTCAACCTCAAATACTCCTGGATTGTTGACGTGCCAGTCACCCATCCTGCGGATCCTAATTCCGCACTGGTGATTGTGACACCTTTCATTCCTCATCAACGAGTTTGGCAGGTCGGTGTTCCACGGTCTTTAGACGAACTGTTGTCACCTGTCAAGCTTGGTAATGTCAACGACAGGGGGGAACGGGCCGTGTCCGCCCCGTTATGACAGCTTCTCCTCATGTTATGCTAAGCAGACCCCGGGTTGGACACTGCTAGCCCTCAGTAGACTCCGGGGTCGTGCGTTCATACCTGCAGGAGACCTCCCGTTGATGACTGATGAATGCCCCCAGGCCCCCCGTCGGGGTCTGGGGGTATTGTTTACAACGGCCCCCAGAGATATCGGAGCTCAATACTCCATACCCATGGTGTCTAGCGAGACTGGGAATATAGGTTAGACGGCCGCCTGTTATATCTGACGTACAGCCAAGAGATAGGTAAAGGTGCCTACAAGCTCAGAGAATCTCCTTTGATACTAGGTAACATTTATCATTTGAATGAGCGTAAACAGTACCTTTAGTGTACGCCCTCATCACCAACCTGCAGGGCAACTCTACCGGAATATAGAACCACCACGTCTTCTCTTTCTTCCCTCTGCTTCAACAGCATCAATAAATTGACTTGGCATGTCACTCGTCGTAAAAGCAGCACTCGTGACTAGGTAGCTCTCCCTGAAGGCATTCCACAAGCTAACGTCCTTTGGGTGCTCTGAGACCGGACGAGGATAGTAGGGGTCATTGAAATAAAAGCCGCGTTCGAGCTGTTTGACACCATCCATATCCTCGGGAAAAGCCTTGCACTGATCAAAATCGAGGAGCCAAATACCGATCGATCGGTGTCTGAACTCGACTTCAGAAGCGACCCTTCCCACGTCAAACCTGGTTGTGGCCTCCAGTTCGGCGGCGAGAGGTCGTCTCTTTTCAGTAGGCGCACTGCCGAAAACGAACTCCACATCATTGGCATCAAGTTTCGCCTTCCAGTGGATAATTGCTAACGTCTGCGCCAGAGTCTCGGCGTACAGTACAGTATCGAGCCGCAAGAATTCCATCTCATTAACCGTCATGTCGAAGTTGCGGAGTCTGAATGTGTTAGTTGTTGGTCGACTTTGTCTTCGACCAAGATAAATGCGGATCAAGCAGTCCTTATTTTCCTGTTGCGATAAGAAGTTCTCCTTGTTTTGTTTAACACCTTTGGGTGCGAAGGCGTCAACAAGAGCCGAGCGCACTGGTAATGGAACTGGAAAGATCCGTTGGGAGAGGAAGCCATCCGTAGGCCGGACGAGAGTTTCGGGAAAATAGCCACGGTGCTCATTCCAGAACATCTCATTGCGAGGTCCGATCCAGGTGCCTAGCCTGGGTAGGTTGATGTTACGTCTGAAGCGTGAAAATGTTTGCTGGAGGGCCTCTTCGACCCGAGCATGTTTGCAATAGTCGTTGTACAACTGGTCCTCCCTGTCCTCATTCGCGGCCTTCAAAACGTTGCTGGTGCCAGTCAAAGCCCAAACAGTACCACATTGACCCTTCCCTATCTGCGTGAAGCCTTTGAGTGCGGCGTTATCCTGGGCGGCGAGGGGGGAAGTGGTAGAGATGTAGCACTTTGTCGATAACATCCGGCTCAGGATTTGTTCTGGACCATATTGTTGAAGACAGGTCTCATCAAGACAAGTTAAGCCGGACATCTCGCCGGCATACTGTAGGCTAGATGCCATGGGTGGCTTGAGAGAGTCAGTGACAAATAAAGGAGATTTTCTGAGCTTGTAGGCACCCTCACCTATCTCTTAGCTATACGTCAGATATAACAGGCGGCTGACTAACCTATATTTCCAGTCGAGCCCCGATATCTCCGGAGGCCATTATAAGAGGTAACGAAAATAGAGTCTATCGTCTACTGATCAGCTGAGGAAGGAGAAGGAGCGTTCAGGAAATTACGGAAGGCACAAGGCCCTTATATAAAACACCAAGGTCCTTATATGGAACACGGTGGCTTCGGCTCCAGCATCAACTTAATGTCTAAATGTGTAGTTCCAGCGTGTTCCACAGTCGTTCGTTGTACTAGTGAGGACTCATTCTCAGTACCACATTCTTGCGTATGGCTACCGAGGATCCATGTCAAATGCGATTCGAGTACCACACTGCGCGCGGCTTGGCAGCCTCGCAGTACTAAAGTTTGTGCTGGGCGATGACTCACTTTTCCGCCTCAATTCTTGCCAAAAGTGACGATATTTAGAGGGTGGAGCTGGTTCCAAGGTGTATACGCATTGTCGGTGGCTGTGGTGAGCGACGTAGTCATTTGGAGTAAACAGACCTCGCCTCCCTGAATCGTTTGCCATAGAAGACAAGTACCCAAGGGACAAAGCTGAGGAGAGCTGCAAACCCGCCCAAGAAGCTTGACGCACCGCCCGTCGTCATAGCTTTGTACATCTGGGTTGTCACCAGAGGAAAGACTCCTCCCAGAGCATTGCGGCAGAAGCTTTGCGCTGCAATCGCCGAGCTCGCGGATGTACCGTACACATCTGCCAGGTAGTTGAAGACGGCGAGATAGATGCTAAGGATTCCCATGGTGGCGACGCCTATGGCAATGGTGGGAACCATCCAGTGGATCGAGGGGTAACTCGTCCAACCAAACATGAATAGTCCGATGGGAAGGAGAGGGCCTTGAAGACAGCTGCCGTAAAGACGAGTCTCAGGCTCATTCTTTACAGTCGTCCTCAGGAATTTCCTCGTCAAGTCCTCTTGGACTGTTGCCAGTGCCGTCGCAACCAGACAACCGATACAAGAAGATGCAAAGACGGCGTTGGACTGCGCCGGTTCAAACCCATGCGTCTGTCCAAAGACAAGCGGAATGGACGACAGACAGATGTACAGCACGGACCAGCTGAAAGCTGCCCAGAGGGAGAAGAAGAAGACCACCGCGTCAGTGAACAGAAGACAGAATGGCCGTGTAAGGGAGACGGCAACCTGTTTTCTCAAAGGCGCCGACACAGCACCTGTCTCTATCTTCCAGCGTATACGTTGAGGAGGCGTGGTAGATGGAGAGTGGTAATGATCAAAGAGCCCGACCTGCTCTCGTGATTCGTACCAATGGTTCAAGGCTTGGGCTTTTGATCGCAGGATCACGTCTTCTCGAGACTCCCGAAAGCGAACAGCCATGAGAGCGAGCACAACTCCAATGACGACCGTCTGGACATGGAAAATCCAGCGCCAGGTAGTGCCTTGGGCTATGAAGCCGGCAAGAAGAGGACCCAGGCCCACGCCCAACACAGCTGCTCCAGAGAAAAGAGCCATTGGGAGATTGCGATCTCGAGCATGGTAGATATCGGCTACCAGGCCTCCGACCATTGTCGAGAAGGTCGAGCTACCAACTCCAGCGAAGAAGCGGGATATCAACATCCTGCAGATTGTCACCGTCAGTCTACTTTCCAACGTGCTTTTGATCGGTTTCTCACCCTGCATATGTTGGAGTGACTGCGCAGCAGATATTGCATACAAGGAACACGATGCCGCTGGCGAGGAAGACGGGCTTTCTGCCCCTGACTTCGGAGAATGGTGCTAGAGCCATCGGTGCAATGGCAAAGCCCATGTTGAAAGATGTGATTCCCACCATCACAGCCACATGGCTGACGTGGAATTCCTCTGCCATTTGCTCAGCGCCAGGGGAATATGCGCTCGCCGCAAAAGACGCAAAGATTGTTGCGACACAAGCAATACAGAGCATTGTATTCTTCCGAGCCGACGACCATTCAGAAGGACGGACATAGCGATCAAGTTTTGGAGCCTTCACTTTTGGGCTGGCTTCACCAAGAGGACTCTTTGTCAGCGGAAGATATAGTTTAGTCTCAAAGTCTAGGTCGAGATAGGTGATGCTTGACTCTTTGTCAAGGGCAGGGCACTTGATGTCATTGTGAAAAGCAGAAGGTGTTGCTGTCGGCACAGTCGGTGGTGGCATCCTGAGTGATAGAACGGTGCAACTGTTGAATATCGTTCATCTTTTGCGGCGAAGGTGGTGGAGATGTATGTGTTATGTATAATATAGAATATATGTATACATCGACTTGAGATAGAGGAGCCCCTGACATCAGGACTGATGACATGCCCTGAGTGGTAACCACAGCTATTATTGTACTCGAACAACACCTCGATGAGAAAAATATCGATCTATTCAAGCATGTTTGTACGATGAACTACATTACGATGCAGGGCGGAGAGAAGAGCGGGCGAATAGCAAAGACGCATCCAAGAGACTCTAGCGACCTCAGGCCATGGCCCCCATCCAGGGGCGGAAGATCATCCGTCATTGTCGAAACCCGGAACATGGACAAGCAGAACAAGATCGAGATTGATTGCTGCTATTGATCTCCTACCAGCCGTGTACCCTGGATAATCTGACGCTCAGTTCACCACGCTACGTGGCTTCCGACCTCCTCCCACCCTCAACGATATCTTCACCAAGGCAGACTAATGATACCCACTCAACCCGCTTGTATCATCCGAGCCCTTTTCTCTTGACCGTGTCACATTGTCGTCTCGAAGCGTGTACTATAACAGAAGCCGTCATGAGCACCAACCCAAAGAGAGGCCGTTTGGCGTGTATCTCCTGTCGCCTTCGGTGGGTCAAAGTCACCAGTACGAACAACACCCGGCACTGACCCGGTTGATCAATAGGAAGAGACGGTGCGACGGTCGTGGTCTTCCCTGCAGGTCGTGTCAGAACAGAGGCCTGGATTGTACATACCAGGATCCAGCGGTTCACAAGTACAATGCTGTCTCCGTGACCAGACCCATTCATCCTGTCGCTGAACTGATGCTGCTCAGGGATGAAAATACTGCCGTCGAGATACTGGCACGTCGTCTCGATACCATTGAGAACATTCTACAGCGACAGGTGACTACGCTCGAGGCCTTACAATCACACCTTATCCAATCCCTCCTACCAGAGACCAATCTAGGTCGACGCCACAGCGAGCTGGCGCAGGGGAATGTCGCCAGTCAATCCTATGAGAGCCCTCGGCGGTCACTCTCTACACTCTCTCTCGCCCTGCAAGACGACCCGCTGTCTCGGCCAGATCTAGAGGCCATTCCACCGCTCACAATCCCCTTGGGCCACCAGACAGGTGCAGGGAGCCTCCTCGCATTGCCGCAGTTGAGGCATCTGATCGGGGATTTCCCAGAAGATTTCTTCTTCGAGGTCGAAAACCGGCGCCCTCCGCCAGAAGCGATGCAGGTTATTGTCGATACGTCGCATGTCTCCGGCGACGAGGACCAGGCCATTCCCAGAGCTACAGTTGATGAATATTTCCAAAAGTTCCTCGACTTGGTCCATCCACTCCATCCGTTTCTGGATCCACGCCACTTGACAGAGGAGTACAAGGTCGCGATGGGAAAGGGTCTAGGCAGAGATAACCAGTCTGCGAAACTCCTGGCCCTCCTTGCCCTGGGAGCCACGGCTTCGGATCCTGTTGGCAATCAGTCTGGCCCTTGTTCCGGGGACAGGCTGGTTCAGAGGGCACTCCGTATTCTGTTCAGATCCTGGAGCCTGTCTTTTCGGGGCGATATCCAGCTCTGCCAGGGCCTCATTCTGGGTTCGCTCTATTTTACCTATTCTGTCGAGCCGTTGATGGCCTGGAGACTCATACACATGGCTGCCACAAATATACAGCAGATGCTGATCCGGTGAGAAATCCCTCTCGTGTTTCCTCTCTCGGCTTGTATTGGATGGAATTAACCCTCACGACGGCTCCACTAGGTGTAACGATATGTCTTCGACCGACGCGGAGATCCAGGAAATCACACGCCTGAGCTGGGTTTGCTTTACTATTGAATGGTACGCACACTTTTTCACACATTACAACACGACTCCCTCACGTTGTGGGCAAAGATACCTGACTGCATTCGCGAGTCCAGTGACATCCAAGCTGATTTTCACCAACCGAGGAGCGGCATCGAGTTGCTGGTCGATTCCATTCCGTTTCCACGATACGGAGAGTCACCCACGGCCGACAATCTCTACTCGCTGGCCGAAATATCCGTGCGGCTTCTACAGAATCGGATCCACCGTGCCGTCTACTTTGCCGACAGCCTGGCGATTTATGCTGGGCGCGGCTTGGACACTTTGGCCACGCCGAGATTGCGTCCCGGTCCAAGCAATTCGCTGTTCAGGGTGTGCGAAGAGCTCGACCGCCAGCTGGAAACGTGGTACAATGCGCTTCCGGAGGCAATCAAGCCGGACCTCGCCAGTGACCTCCACGACGGCAAGAACGGTTGTTTGCTTCGCCTGCGTTACTGGTCCTCGAAACAGAACATATATCGGCCATTCGTGTTGTATGTCACGTCTCAGATGTCGGATCGGACTGCCGCCATCCCTCCTTCGGTCCTTGAAAAGTGCCATTCTTGTCTCTGCGCATGTCGCGCTTACATCCTTACCGCCGGCCATCTCTTGTCACACAGGTCTCCGTACACATATTCTGCGGCGCAATAGTAAGTTGGGACCAGCAGGAGAGGCTGCTGTCTTTCCCTCGATCAGGATCACTAACTCGTCCTTCTCTTTAGCTGCTTTACCTGCCTCTTGGTCATATCTCTCGCGTTTCAGTCGCCCGCACTTCGTGGCTTTGTCACCGACGTCGAGATGCTGCAGGGCCGCACGGTCGAGATGCTCAGGATTTGGGGGTGGCCCGGCTCGGCTCTCGAATGTGCTTTGCAAATTGCCTGCTCGATTGCCACTAAGCAGCGTTACTGCATGGGCTAGCTGGTCGGTGTGTCGGTGTAACAGCTTGTGATTGAGTCAGGGGGAGAAGCTTCTCCTCCCAGTTCTTACTGTCGGGGCCGTGGTGGACAACAGAGGTGGTCGAAGGGGGGAGAGGGGGCGATTATGCGATTTTATTCCTTCTTGTCATCCGTTCTCGCTAGGGGCTAGCCAATCTTCTACAAAAGCTTCCCATCCACGGCGGCTTGCGGCCCGCATGTCCCGACTCCTGGTCGGCTCTGGTCGTGGCTAGTAGGGATTGCGGCGGGACATACTCCGCACTCTTGACGCCCTCGCTTACTTGGCGAATGGTCCCAGAGCAAATAGACAGGTTACACGACAGATTCACTCAAGAGGGGGAACATCAAAACTGGGTAGGTGAACTGGAAGAGGAGATAGTACCCAGGCTCTCTGAGCTTTAACGCTGGTGTTAACAATCACTCACATTGAATGCTATCATGGCTATATGAGGTGTGTGGTAACTGTTCTCGTGGCTTTCAATCCGGACAATATAACTCTCGCATCTGTGTTTGAAAATTTATAATGCATGTTGCTGGGCCTTTTTCAGTTTGACCAGAGCCGAGGGATCTTCTCCCCCGCATTAACTGGTAATAACAGAACAAGAGCAAAGCATCCACTCGCCTTCTTGGAAGTATCATACTCCCTTGCGGTCAACATGATCACCACAGAAGGACAGGAGACAGGGCCGGACCCAAAGAACGAGACTGGTAATATACAGAGTCTGTTCAATCTTGATGCAAGAAGTGTTATCGGTATGTCGAAGTCGAATCAGATCACCGGACCAACCATAGCCATTGCTTAGCTTCCTGTTGAGCTGAGCTGACATGAACCACGCGCGATAGTCACTGGTGCGACGGGTGGCCTGGGGCGAGAAGTTGTCAAAACATTGTTGCAGGCAGGTTCCGATGTTATCGCGGTCGATTATGTACAGAATGAACCGTCCGACGCAAGCTGGAGTGGGTGCACCTCTTCTATGGAGGGATTTATTCCTCGGTTTTCCCAATATGCCAGGAATAGAGGTGACCATAGAGGATGCTAATACAGTCCTTTGGTCAGGACATCTGAGGAGTATCAGTAGCGACGTTGGCGCCTTCTTGAGCTACCACAGCTGCGACATATCCGACGCTGGACACACGGAGACTGTCTTTGAAAAGGCGTCAGCTTGCTCACGGTTTCCGCTCAGAGGCCTTGTCAACTGTGCCGGCATCAGCATACTGGGGGACTCCATCACATTCCCCCTGGACACAGCTAGGCGGATCATCGACGTCAATCTCGTTGGATCGCTGATCGTGGCTCAGGCTGCGGCGCGCATTGTGAGGAAGCGAAACTTGTCAGCCAGCTTCGTCTTCATAGCCAGTATGAGCGGCTACGTCGTCAACAAGGTGAGGGATCTACTCTTCAACTGCCCTTATTATATGAAGTCAGGGCTTATCCCGCTGACACGAAACTCTGTCCAATGTCCGTAGGGCGTCGGCACTGCCGCATACTCGGCCTCGAAAGCAGGCGTCCATCAATTGACCCGCAATCTGGCGGCTGAATGGTCTCACTGCGACGGCTGGCCCGAGATCAGAGTCAACTCCATCAGCCCGGGCGTCATCCGAACCCCAATGTCGTCATCCGTTCTTTCAGAGGGCAGCCTTGAGGCCACGTGGACACAGGAGACCATGCTGAGGCGGCTCTCGGTCCCAGAGGATTATCGGGGACCCGTCGTGTTCCTGCTTTCCGAAGCCAGTTCGTACATGACTGGGGCTGATTTACTCGTTGATGGCGGATACACGGCCTGGTGACGACGACTGTTTTGTAAAGGGGGTCAAGGCCGCCGTTGGTGTTGGTGTTGCCATGGCGGTAAGGACTTGTGACCGTCTTTGACGTCGAGTCTTGCGATAGTGGAAAGAACTTCCCGATCTATTCATACTCGTATACTTCATTTCTGTAATGGATCGTCCACACCCTGCACTCTGAGGCAACTCAGTAGCGACGTGTGATAGTCGGCGTGACTCGTCAGGATCATCATCGTCCTGCATTCGAGAGCCATCCCTGTGGCAGTCACCCATCTGTCCTTATGCGAGTACATTGTACATAGGATATCAAGAGTGGAAGTCCAGCCGGTCGGAGCCTGATTGGCCACTTCTCGGGCCGATGCCTGTCAGTCTCCGCATCCACGTCCAGACGCGGCAGGCCCCACCCCGCAAGGCTGTACTGAGTAATACGAGTTATTCGGTAACAAGTGCGGCAAGTGCGGACCGCATCCCGCCCCCCTTTACATCTGTGCATCTCGTCTTGTCTTGCCTCTTTTCTTGGACGATGAGATATTGTCGTCAGATCATTGTCGCTCCATCAGCAACTCGAATTGCGGAAACGTCAAATGATCCGCATGCATTACAAACCTGATTAGTGCGAAGCTCAGGTTGTTGTCAATTGCGGGACGGATAAATTTTCAGGCCCGATAAACTACGAGGGACAACCCGTTCTGGATCATCGTGCAACCAGCCCAGGCACCTCTTCCATAATCAAGTCTATTGGAAGGCGACGGTCACAATGCCGTCTCTAGCCCCTACCATGTCAGTTCGACTTCGTCTGCCTTACTCCATCAAGGCGTGCCCTCTGACAAATTCGATGGTTGCTTGGTGCGGGCCAGTGCCACTCACACAGCATGCATCAATATCGACCTCTGCCGCTGCTTCGCTGAGGAAGCCTATATCCCCAGAGTGGACCCGACGATTATCGAGCTTCAGTTCGCAGTTGTCGTCGCCCGTCGTTGGAGTGCCCTCTTGTCGCTTTAGAGCAATGTCTTCGTTTGCCACCATACCCAAGACCATGAAAGCCGTCGTCACCGAAAAGACCGGAGGCCCTGATGTTCTCAGGTTTACGACGGATCAACCCGTCCCGACGCCCAAAGAGAACGAAGTGCTGGTCAAGAACCATCTTGTTGGCGTCAACTATATCGATATCTACTTCCGCACGGGTCTCTACCCGGCACCCAAACCCGAAATTGGTGGGCGTGAGGCTGTCGGCGAGATCGTAGCTACAGGCTCCAAAGCTACCAAATATGGGTTGAAGGCTGGGGATCGTGTCGTGTGGCTGGGTGTGTCAGCGTATGCAGAGTATTCCGCCGTGGCAGTGGATAAGGTGATCAAGGTGCCCAGCGGGGTATCAGACGAAGATGCAGTGGCAGGTATGCTGCAGGGTTTGACTGTGGTTGGACTGGTGGAAGAAGCGTACAAGGTGAAACGGGGCGACACGGTGCTGGTACACGCCGCAGCCGGTGGTGTTGGCTTGATCCTTGTGCAGGTTCTCAAGAGGATCGGGGCGCGGGTTGTTGCTACGGCTGGAGGAGAGGAGAAATGCAAGTGGGCAAAGGACGCTGGAGCAGATGTAGTCATTGATTACCGGAAGCCCGGTGTTGACTGGGTTAAAGAGGTCACGACGGCTACGAACGGGGAGCTTTGCGAAGCTGTATACGACGGGGTTGGGAAGGATACGTTTGATGGCAGTCTAGAGGTGACCAAGAGGAAGGGGACTCTTGTCAGCTTCGGGAATGCCAGTGGTGCGGTTCCACCATTTGCCATCTCGTGAGTTTCTCTTTTCTACTCCAGCTATCTCTTTCCTGCTCCAGACCCGTTACTAACTCGATACGCCTCGAACCACGCAGTCGTCTGTCCGCAAAGAACAACAAACTGGTTCGTCCGTCCCTGTTCAACTACCTCACCACTCGGGAGGAGTTTGAACAAACCTGCCGAGACTGGTTTACTTTGCTCGAAGGCCCCAACAAGGTCAGTGTCAAAATACACAAGATATATCCTTTGGAGGAAGTGGCAAAGGCACAATCGGTAAGAGAATCCCTCCCTTACAAAGGTTACCAGGCTGACGGTTATGTCAATATAGGATCTCGAGGGAAGACACACTAGTGGGAAGCTTCTTATCAAACCGTAAATATCGGCGTCTCTTCAAGGTGATTAATGCAGCAAACACATTACTAAACCTCTCTATACCTGGGGTTGCAGCCTTGCGACTCTACAGATAGGAAGATGGTGGCCAGGATAAGGCGGCATCAATTGTGTCCCGAGATGGCTGTATATATGCGCTGCTTTAGCTAGTCTTGGCAACTGTTTGTCTTGATGCATTTCGATGTGGAACATGATCGCCATGCTCTACCCTCCCATCCGCCTCTATCGACAATCTCTGTCTGAATATCTAATATGCCTCTTCCTGTCCTAACCCACCGCTATGCTTGTCACATTCATCAACAGAAATATCGGAAACTTTGACCGTAACCCCGAATTAGCTGCCATCAATGCCCATCACGCTCGTATCAAACATGAGAAAAGACGCCAGGCAATAAGAGATGCAGCTCGCAGACAAAACACTCTGCTGTTAAGCTATTTTGATGCATCTGAGGCGTCTGCAATCTCTTTATCTGGACAAATTGGCGGCTTGCGAGATGACCCTTTCTGGACTCTTCCCGTGGAAAACACGTGCGATGCCATGAGCGGGTTCGACTACCGTAAGTTGTTTTTTTTTTTTAGAGATAGTCTTGTGTGACTGTTCTCTTTCGACGCTCATGTTGCAGATTTCCAAGTCCTGTGCCCGCTCGCACTGAGCTTGGGCAACTACAACCCGGCCCAGCATCAGATCATGAGGACCAACGTGCTCCAGACGCCTATGTATTGCAGTTCCATGATCGCCTTGAATCTGACCATGCAGCGGCTTCACATGGACAGCAAGACGCGTCTGTCGAGGGCTGTCATTTACCACCTGAATAATACTGTCGTCCAGTTGCGAGACGCGTTGCGAGATCCGGCGACCTGCACGAGTGACATTGTCCTCGCTACCATCTTCCCAATGGCTTCTGTCTACGTATGGCTGCTCCCGCTTTCTCGCTGTGCCGCTATACGGAATATCTCTTGGAGACCCCTCGCTGATGTGGCAAGTGCAGCGCATGTTGAATGATCATGCTGCTTTCAAGGCACACGTCCAAGGCGTCCGCCGCATCGTCGAACTCCGCGGAGGGCTCGATTCCCTGGGGTGGAGTGGCTTTTTGAAGATATCGGCTGTTGGGTAAGAAATAATGAAACGTCAATTTGACGCTCGGGCAGCTTTCTTGTGCATCCGCTAACACCGCGTCTCGGGTACATATCAGGATGTTTGAGTCTGCCGCTGTGTTGCACCGCCAACAGACCCAACGCAGCCAGGACGAAGCACAGGGGCTCAAGCTCGCCAGTGACTCGGTTGCGGAATATCCTTCCCTACCGCTCCCTCGAGCCTTGCAGGTCAAAATATCCAAACTCCCGCCCGGCCTGGCCTGTCTGGCCCTGCGACGCCGGCTCAGCCTGCAGTGCATCAACTTCCTCCAGCTCTTTTGCGAGTGGCTCGCGGACAACAGCGTCACCCCTGGACCGCACGACTCCATGACGGAGCTCGGCCACGACATCCTCGCCGTGTCCGGTCTGGGCGCCACGGAACGGGTGCTCGCGGTGGCGATCCAAGCCTACGTGAACTGGCTGGAGAGGACCGTGCGCCGCTGGTGCAACTACGCGTCCGAACACAGCGTCGAGATGCAAATTGCCATGCTGGCCCGGGAGGTCGGGCTGGACGATACGTGCGACGGGGACGCCCTTGCCTGGGCGTGTCTGCTCGTCAGAGACACGACCTCGCGGGGTTCCACGTCCTGGGGATGGGCCACCAAGTATCTGGCGAAGATGGACCTGAGTGCTGAGAGGGAGGCGTATCTCGACCGTCGTTTCTTCAGTCGTCCGGCCACGGCTGCGCCAGGTGTCACTTTCGGCCACATTACACATAATGTCGGAGGAGGCTGAGCAAGGTTGCTCTGGAGACGCGATATAGGGGAACAGATAAACAAAGAAAGGGATTTTTGTCCTGGGCTGGCTTGCCGGATACTTGGCTGGTTACTCTACATCTCGCCTCGAGTCACTCAAGCCAGGCCTCCGCGCGCATGTATTGTATCCGATTTCATTGGATTATGTCGTACTCCTTGCTCCTTCCCCCCTCTTCTCTCTTGATTGATTATTTCCAGTCTCGAATGGAAATACATATACATATATACACCTACAGTACATACCCCACCTATGCATGTATATGTATATATATATTCAAAGACGCGACGCCGTTTTTCTCACTCGAGGTCTCGAGTACTTTTACTACTACGGAGAACTCAGCTCAGCGTCCTGTCCCAGACGAAGGAGCACCGTCGGGTGACCTCGTCGGCGCTCAGCCTCGGGATCCTGATGGCCTCGAGGTCGTCGCAGCGCTCGTACTCGTCCACAGAGCCCAACGTGCGGGTCTGGCGCGTGGGGAAAAAAGCCGTGGGTTCCTCGTACTCGTACAGCATGAGGAACGTGCCGTCAGAGTACACTTGAGCGGCAGGAGCGGCGGCGGCGGCGCCACCCGCGACAGGCACAGACACACCGGCCGGGCATGCGGTCCAGGTGTGCGGCACGCCCGGGGCGATGGTCACCAGCGTCTTGGGGGGGATTACGTAGATGGTGCCGTTGAGCTCGACCAGGGCGACGCCGTTGAGGACGACGATGCGCTCGGCGATGAACTTTTGCGTCTGCGCCTGCGCAGTTGCAGGACGTGTGTCTGTGTCTGTGTCTGCCTCTATCGAGGTCGAAGGCGAAGAAGAAGAAGAAGAAATGTGCACATGTCGCGGCAGTCGGAAGTCGGTCGTGAACTCAATTAACCCCAACTGGCCCGAAAAGGCCCTTTGGCCGCCGGGGTCCAGCTCGTGCATCTCCACAGGGATGTCGCGAAAGGGGTGTTTGATGTTTGCGCCCTGTCCGTGGACTATGGTGCAGCCGTTGGGTAGAGTGATTCCATAGCTGTGGGGGGTGGACATGATGGGGAAAAGGTGACGAGGAGTAGACTGTCAGTCACTCTTGGAAGGTACTTCGCTTCGTGTTCTGTGCGAGTGAGTGAGTTCTGCGAATGTTTTGGACGTATATGTCCTTCGGCACAAAAGAAACGCCCGAGAGCGCGAGATTTGTCTCTCGGTGAGTCAATCGCTCTCAGTCATCAGCAGATGCAACTGCTTCAAAAAACCATGACGGTGGCCTGCTCCATAGACGTAGACGAGGGGAGAACGTTGCTAGGATCGCTTGGGGCCCGAAATAAGCGGTTCTTGGGTCGCAAACGGGGAAAGCCTCGGGTCCTCTGGAACAGCGCAAAGAGCGACATCGCGACAAAGTTGCGGTGCCAATACCCCGATTCTTTGTTGCTGCTAGTGACTAAGCTGTGGACTCCAATTCTTCAAGGCTCACAGGCTTGCGAAACGCCCAATGCGAAGCCGTCTCGACGGGAAATTCTCCGGATAATCCTTCTAGCCAACACAACCTTGGACTTATTAAATTTAGCGGTCGATGACATAGTGGGCGCCTTGTTGCCAAGAAGAATGCGACATGTTCTTGTGAGAACTTGCTCGCAGAGAATGCTGTTTCAGTTGCAGAGTATCTCGACGGGTAGGCGTGCCAATGGGAGATATAAAGGATGGGATGATGGCCGCCAGTGGTGAGGGTGAAATGTACCACCAACCGAAAACCAGAAAGACCTGAATAAGAGAACCGATAATACACAAAAAGACAAAATGGCTCCAGTGACCGTGCTCATTATCGGCTGTGGCGTTGCAGGCCCAGTTCTAGCCGTCCTTCTGAAAAGAAAAGGATACACTCCGATTGTGTTTGAGAAAGTGAAGCAGTTGGGCGATGTTGGAGCATCTCTAATGCTGATGCCAAATGGGTCAGTCTAGAGAATGATGGCCACCCGGCATGTGGCCCCGAGTACATGCACTAACTGTGATACAGATTGAAAGTGTTGGACTTGGTCGGCCTCACAGCAGAGATCGAGCGAGAATCTCTCCCACTAGAGGGATTTCTCGACTGCGCCACCGATGGGGAAGTGCTGGGTTACTCAGCAGAGCCCAAGTCATTCAAGGAGAAATACGGGCAACATGCCATGGGAGTCAAGCGCACTGGACTGAACCTGAAGCTCAAGGACATGTTGATTGACATGGGCATCGACCTGCGCGAAGGTTGGGAATTGGAGGAGATTGAGGAGACCGAGGACACCGTCACTGCTCATTTCAAGGGTGGCCGGAGCGTGACAGGTTCCATCCTCATCGGTTGTGATGGCATCAAGGCTGCTTCCAGAAGAATCCTCCTGAAAAACAAAGGGACCACAGAGGGACTACCCCTGTTTAGTGGACTTACTCAGGTGAGTGATTCGAGTCCTGGATGGATTCAACGACTGACCGCTCTGCAGACCGCCGGGCTCTCTTCGACACCGCAGGCAATGAAAGGCAAACCATACATGCAGAACTTCTATGGTGAGGGAGTCCACATGATTACATACCCTGTCTCGCCCGACGTCACATCCTGGGCTTTGACATTGCCTGAAGAGACCGGGTCCGAGGCTTCTTGGGGACTGATCACCGCAGACGAGATGGACGAGAGGAAGTGTAAATTGCTAGCTCACCTTGAGCACTGGCAGGACAAGTCACCCGCCGAGCTGATCCAGTCCGCCGCTCGAATGATCAAGTTTGGGTTGTTTGACCGAGATGAGATGACACCAGATCAGTGGCATACCAGGCGAATTGTGCTTGTGGGAGACGCTGCACATCCCACAAGCCCACATCTTGGACAAGGTGCCAACCAGGCATTGTAAGGCATTCGTGGACTGCTTTGTGTTGCTCAGCTGACATCCGAATAGGGAAGACTGCTACCACCTCAGCCATGCCCTGCCAGATCTGTGTCCGGTAGAAGACGGTGACCACCGAGCTCTTGGTGAGCTGAAAGAGCGCCTCCCAGCAATATTCAAGACATTCGCGGAAAAGAGACAACCACGGACGTCGGCCTTAGTTAAAGGGGCACGAACCCAGGGCCAGATGAGAGTGGTGACGGCGGGACCGCAAGCGTGCAAGGAACGGAACAGGAAGGTCGCATCTGCATGGCAGGACACTGTTGCGGTATCAACCAAGTACGAGGGTCTTTGTCGAGAGCCATTCCAAGTGGCAGCTTGAGGCTAGGGTGGATGTATTGATGGTTTGCGATTTGTAACATTACCGTACAATAGGGAGATTGTGATGGGGTTTGGACAGCAAAGTCTCATTGTATAACAAGGTATTTCAATCGATTTGTACATGAAGATACACCCCTGAGCTTGAAGAAGGCTAGAGGAATGTACCGGGTCCAGGATGAATGGTCAAAATGGAGGAATACCTCGTACTTTGCGTAGAGCGGGAACAAAGGCGTGCGCACTGGACCGGAATATCTTTATTCCGGTATATCGCAGCCGCACCTGACAAATAAACGTTTCTGTCTGACAGATATTTTCTGGTTTCTCCCAACATCTCATTGAGTTGCATCAAGGACATAATGTACCTCGTAGCGGAAACAAACACAGCATATTCGGTACGAACCAGGGGCAATCTCCAGATACTACGGCTCAATCCACCCTGCGAGGTAGTGCCGCTTCCACTCGGATGATCTCGGAAACCCTCCTCTGGCGCCCTGAAGCTCGTCAAGCCGAGAGATTGTCGATGGTGTGACACCAAAACCGCATCTGTCCATCGACTAATTCGAAGATATTAATTCTTCATACCAAGCGCCTAGACTTACAAATTGACTACTAAAGCATACTCGGACGTCCTCGCCCTTTTATCTGTCCTAACTATGAAATCGTAACCATCTTGGCTTGTCGATATTAATGATGGCTCAGTCCCTTGCCGCAGCTGGGCACAACCTCGAACGGCGCACCGTTGTGTCGGTCCTCCTGTTCCCTCATCAGCCATACGCGTCCAAGCCATACAGGGTCCTCCTGTTCCGCCGCTCCGACAAGGTCAGCACATATCGGAGGAAGCTTGCCCCCATTGCCGGCTCGATCGAGACACATGACAAGTCTCCCTTGGATGCCGCCTGGCGAGAACTGAAAGAAGAGACTTCATTCGGACCTCAGCAGATCGAGCTGTGGAGACGAGGGGCTGGCTTTGAATTTACCGACCAAAAGGCTGTGGTTATCGGCGAAAGTGAGCACCAGGTCAAGGGACGCATCTGGAAAGTCTGGCCGTTTGCGTTTCGCTTGACCAAGGGAACCGTCGACAATGACAACGACACGGAGAAGCTCGGGGTCCAGATGAACTTTGAGCATCTGGGTTTCCAGTGGCAGAATGTTGACGACATCCTCAGTGGTAAGATACTGGATGACTGCGTGCCCAGACTAGAAGTCACGCTCGGCCAGGTCTGGGTAGATCCCAATAGCATATTGCATCAAGGGCTCGAGGAACTCCGGCTCGACCATTCACATGGCGCAAGAGAACTAGCCACCATGGCGGTGAAGTCTCTGATCAAAATTGTTGAACATGACCAACAAACGCAGCAACACAGAGACTTCGATGAGTGGTGGAAGACTTTTCAACGACAGGCATTCCATCTAGCCTTCAATGGGCGGCCAAGCATGGCGGCGGCGATATCTAATGCTATTGCCACAGCGTTGAAGCAGGCAAAGGCTCAAGTTGAACCTGGATCGACTGATTTTCTCGAGAAAGTCAGACAAAGCCTTGAAGCGTCCGTCACTCGGCGAGGTGAGATCTCCAAACAAGTGAGTCACCAGTTCTCGAAGTTCTTGCAGGATAAGTTCTGTTCAAGTGCTCAAGGCCAGATAGGCGAGCAGGCACGGATCAAAATTCTGACCCTGAGTTCATCCTCGACCATCAAAGCCGCGATCTTATATGCGCTCGACGCGGACGAGTCGTTGTCAATAGAACTTCGCATCCTCGAATCGCGCCCACTGAATGAAGGCGTGGGCTTTGCCAAGGTCTTGACGGAAGAAGCCCAGAGACGCCACGATTCGGGAGCCACGGGCCCCCTCATTGACGATCGCCTGCGGGTAGTTCTAGCGAGTGACGCCTCGGTGGGGATACTAGCCAAGGACGTCGACCTGGTCATTATCGGCGCCGACCGGATATCAGAAGCCGGAGACGTGAGCAACAAGACTGGCTCTCTGGGCGCCGCTCTGGTCAGCAAAGCCGTCACGGATGGCAAGGCCGCCGTGGTGTGTATCAGCGAGAGTGAGAAAATTGCATATCCGGGGGCGGCGGAAGATCACCCGGAAGAGGACAATGACGCGTCGGAGCTTACCAGCAACTGGGATCTACAACCATCTTCTCCCCCCTTGTGGAACAAGATGGTGACTGTGCGCAACGTCTACTTTGAATGGGTGCCCGCGACGCAAATTGACTATTACGTCTGCGAGGACGGCACGCTGTCAAGACAGGATATCCGCCAGAGGTCGAAGCTGGTGTCTGACGTGATGAACGAGGTCTTTACGGTTGAGCAGGGATCAAATATATCAGAGGCATCGTCAGGCCGTTGAGCGATAGCGCGTGGGCGCGAGGAGTGAGCAGGGAACGGATCATTGATCTGATCACCTCCATGGCATGACCCTGCCCACTCAATCCAACGACGTTATTACCATTCAAGAGTCCGAGGAGAAGAACCGCCACGCCTTTGCTTTCCTGCGATGAAATTCGGGGCTGTATCTATCGAATCTCTCGCTGCTGAATGAACCAGGAGGAGCAGCTGAATCGAGCAATACCGTACAAAACAGGGCTAGGTAGCCGGCTTGCCAGCTTGTACTTTGTCCAGGTCTAGACCACCGCCACCAACTAGACATACGTCAAATAGTTGCGGAGAAGCTCACTCAAAATCCAGGGTCTTTTCTCACTTATCGGCCCTTTTTGGGTTAGGTTTTAGCCAATGCCATGTCTCTGAAAACATGCAATTCCGCAACAATGCCCTTTTGGGTCAGCTGCATGGTTGTTTTCAGCACTTCTCAATAGACGCCCAC